ACCCCACGCACGCAGCGCGGCCAGGACTCGGCCCTGGCGGAGGTTGAAAATCGGGTTTAGTGAAGGGAGTCGCTCCTGGCTTCTGTAGCAGCCCCCAACGCCGCCGCCGTTGCGGGATGCGAGCACGATGCCGTAGTCGTCGCGCTCGGTGGGGATGTAACCGCGACGCACCGCTGTGGCGTACATGAACCCGTCGCTGGCGCAGGGGCGCGGCAGGTACTGCAGGTTCTGCGCCGTACTCACCCCGGAGAGGGAGTAGCAGGTGTGGTAGGCGTCGTTCGGGCAGCCCGGCTTGTCCATTAGCCCCCCCAGCTCCTCATCCTGGCAGCAGGCGAGCACGTAGAGCTGCAGACGCCGTTGATTGAAGAGCAAATCCCCCACGTCTTCGTCGAGGAACGCCTGGGCCGGCGGAGTTGAGGCGGAGGCGGAGGCGGGCGGGGCGTGGAGGTACGCCTGCACGTGTGTGGCGCGGCGCCGGTGCGCCTCCTCCGCCTGGCGCCAGGCGTCGTCGTCCATCGGCCGCGTAAGCGTCACGTCGATGAGCTGCGCGTGATCGAGCAGGAGGGCCTCGCGCGCCGTCAGACACCGTGCCGCCCCCGCCTGCTGCAGGAGCCGCGCGTACGCCTCCCCCACCCGCAGCAGCATGTGGGACGCCCCCACCCAGTGCGAGTAGCACGAGTCCACGAGTTTGTTGGTCCTTCCGTTGAAGCCGCCCTCGAAGCTCATCTGCCGCGCCGCCAACCACCGCCGCAGGGCCGCGTATTTGCAGAGGTGCGGGTGCCGCATCAATATCAAGGCGCCAAGGCCACACTGCGTGTAGGCCCCGTGCGCCTCCGTTCCGTGCAGCCCGCACGCAAAGCCTCCTTCCTGCGTCTGGCAGGACGCCACAAAGGCGGCCGTTTGCTCTGTGATTAAACTTTCGTCCCGCCCGTCACTGTACGCGACAACCTCATCAAGCTGAAACAGCGTCGCGATGACGGCCACACTGTACGACGCACGCAGGTCTGCCTCGCCCCCAATATGCATGCAGAAGCTGCCGTCCTTGCAGCGTAAAGAGAGCATCCAGCGCTTAATGGCAGCACGGGGAAGAGCATGCAGGTACTCAGTCTTTGCCAATATGCAAAGCGAGCAGGATGCGGCGTACGACACAGCCAGGTGCGGCACCTGCGCGTCCCGTCCACCTGCAAATCCCACAAGACGCTTTCCATCATCGCTACCAACGTCAAGGAGGTTCGCGGGTTGGCTTGGTAACACCGAGTCATGCCGCTCCTCCACAATCGGCGGATACCTGCTCCCGTCATCGGCACTACTCGCTTCATCGCCCGCCACCGCCTCCTTTAGGCAGCCAAGGATAAATTCGCCAATGGCATCGGGGGAGACGCATTCGTAGAGTTTGTCTGTAATATCAAGCAGGTCCGCGGCTTGCAGGGCCCAATACGCAATCCACGGCTGGCCACTGTAGAGTCCCTGCATCGACTCCGGCAGCCACAGGAAAGGGCCATGCACGTAGTTGTTGTGCAGCTCCCGAAGCAGAGGCGGACAGGTCGTACCGTCCCTGCGCGTCTCCTCGGTGGCCTCCGCGGCCTCGCAAGGCATCCCCCAGTGCTCCTGCACCGCCGGGTGGTATTGCCGCAGGAACCGCAAAAGGGTCGACTCCACCTCCCGCTGCGCCAGCGTCGTCCTCGTCGCCGGCGGAAGAGGCATCGTGGCGGTGGAAATGCAACGAAGCGGGCCAAAACACCCTTCCAAGAAGCGCGGGTGTTATTACAAATTCAACCTACGCGGTCTCTCTCCCTCTGTGTGTGCGATTACGCGTCTTTCCCCACTTTTTTTTTCCCGCTGCAAGTCACTACAGGGGAGGAGGCCCGAAAAGCAGAGAGCGCAGGGAGAGAGGGCGGGGGGCGTGGCGTGGTGTGTGCGGCGATGCCCCCGTGCAGGGGAGCCGCCAAGCCGGTTGGCCCCTCCACAGCCCCGGACTGGACTCCCGCTCGGCGCGAGGCCGCCCCGCGCACTCCGCCTGGGACTCGTGAACAGCGAGGCGAAAAGGCGGGCCGACTCGGCAAACCCGCAGGGCAACGGCGGGACCGAAACCGCCACCACCACAATGAAGCAAAAAAAAAGAAAAGAAAAAACACACAAACACAACCACACAGTGAGTGGTATCACGCGCGCCGTCGTCCGCGCAGGCGGTAACGCCGCTTCGCCGACACGAGGACCAAAAACACCAGCGGCAGCAGGACCAGCACCGGGAGCCACATCAGCAGCCCGTCGCCCCTGTCCTTTTGGAGGCCCGAGGAGTCCCCCGCGGTCAGCCTCGCCAGGCACTGCACGAGGGAGGCGCCGTCGTCGGAGTCCCAGGAGGCGAAGCTAAAGAGTTCGTCCCCAGTTTTGCTCAGCACTCGATGCGTGAGGCGATGGCCCTTCTTGCAATGCAGCATGACTCCAGTCTCAAACGACTGAAAGACGCTAGCCTTGTGCACCCAGCTCTTGCCCTTGAGCGGGTAATGCAGCCCGGCCCCACCACCCCCACCGCTGTTCGCGTAGTACTGAAAACCGCGCTTGGAAACCTGCAGGTAGTGATTGTCCGCATGAATGTAGAGAGAGGCGCAGGACCTCGCCAGGAGCGGGGTCAGCCAGTTCTGCAGCCAAGGAAAGTTCTCGTGCGGCCCATTGGAGAGAACCGGGTAGTGCCCAACGACCACCTTGTACGGCACGGCGGCATACTTGCGCAGGAGCCAATCCTCCACCACCGCCTTCTGCCTCCCGGCGTCCCAGCACGTGGCTGGGTGGGCGTTGCAGCTGTGCAGGAGAACCGTGTCGAGCACGACAACCACCATGTCGCTGCTCACCTTCAGCGCGTAGTACGGGTGCGGCATGTACCAACGGCCCGTCACCGCCGCCGCCGCGTCGGAGGTGAGGTGGGACCAGCGTCGCGCGTGCACCGCCGGGTCCCGCGCCGCGTGCGTGTAGCTGACCTGCGCCGACCAGTTGCCCCTGTGGTCGTGGTTCCCCAGCGCCACCAGCCACGGCACCCGCCGCACCGCCGCACTACCGCCGCCGTAGACCCCCTCGAAGGTGGTGAAGAAGCGCTCGTCGTGGACGCTCCGCACGCCGCGCGGGTAGAAGTTGTCGCCGGCAGCCACCACAAACCGAATGCGCTCGTCCCGCCGTCCCGCGGCGTCCTCGATGAGCCGCGCGATGAGTGCCGCAACCTCCCGCTGTCGCTGCTGCCTCGGGGACTTCCCGCCCCAGCAGCCGTGCGAGATGAAGCAGAAGTCGCCGCCCTCCTCGCCACTCGCGGCACGGCTGCCGGGGTTATACGCCGCAAACGCGACCTCGGCGAGCGGGGCGCCCGGCGCTGCGGCAGCGGCCGCAATGGGCTCCACGACCCCCACAACTACAACAACAGCGGCGGCGGCGGCAACAAGCGCAGCACCAGCGAGGCGGAGCTGCAAGCTGCGGCCGCCAACGACAGCCGGCATGGACGCGCCGCAGGAGAACTCTTCGCTCTTTCACAGCCACACACACACAGTAAAAAAGAAAAGAAATAAGCGTAAACGACGT